CACCCAACCGTAAATCGTGCAATAACTGCTTGATTCTGTCTCGGATTCTTCATAAACAGAAATTAATTTTTTTTAAAGATTTGTATTTGTCCGTCGCCGGTGAATTCAGAATTATTTCACGAGCTGATTGCAGTACCTCTGATTCTAACGCGGCGATCGCTGTATAAAATTGAGTTTCGTCGGCAGTAATGTGACTCAACTGCGCATAAAATTGAATGAACCATAACGATGGGTCTCGGCGACAAAAAGGCGGTGGCTTGCGACTCGCGAAAATTGTAAAGCAGCATCGTTGTCATCCACTTTAGATCAATCAAATATGCACAGTAATAATATGTATAGAAAAATAATCACTATGTATATAGTGACACAGTTTTTCTTGGTACTTGAAATCAGAGAAATTGGCGGCTCAAATACAGTAGACGATACATATATCCGCTGAAATTATGACAGAAATATGTTGAATCGCCGGAATGCGGCACAACGCTTGAAATGACAGGTGAAATGTCTTACTTGCATCTCATCACACTGGATAACTTACTGCTGCTCAGAATTTTGACATATAAACTCCATATTCGTGCAACATTGAAGGTTGCTATTCGTAATAAATACGTGTCACCAATTATGGTAGTACAAATTTTTGAGACAGATCGTTAAATAATTATAACAATTGAATAGAATAAATATTATTTTGTTTTTGGTTGCTATGGGTTACCAGACTGGCAGAATTGAGTTGTAGTAGGCAAGTTGCCACATATCTATTTATCTATAATGTATATTAAACTTTTAATTGTTTAAAAACTGTACTTTTTAAAAACACTTATATAAATATGTAAAATAAATAACACACCTTTTAACTAATTCTAGATCATCGTACGTCTGATTTTTGTGCCGACACAGATGCATTTCCTAATCCAAGGCTAGTAGTTAGGTAGTGATTATTCTTATATTTTTGAGTATTTTATGGCAGATTCAGCATTTTATTATTATTTGCATTATTTTCTTATTGAGAATATATTCTATATATTATATTACTGAAAGTTTTTAAGGGGGGCGCCAAAAAAGGTATTTTGCCCCGGGCGCCAGTTATACTTGCTACGCCACTGATTTCGGGCCCCCTACTGCTTGCCAAGGATGGAAAACATTTAATTCTAAAATGTCGTAACATCAGTTTGGCGCCCCTTCGATTCTGCGCCCGGAGACAAATGCCCTCCTTGCCCCCCTCTAGCTACGCCCCTGATAGTCAGGCTTCTAAAGCAGTTGTTAAGCGAAGCAAATAAAATTTTAAATATGATGCGCTTAGCAATGGTTTTGGTACTTCCACGTTATGGCGTCGGCCGTCAAACTGCACCAGTTTTAGATAAGCGGGATATAATAGCACATTCGTAACATCTATGTTTTCGTTTGATGTGAACTGTAACTCTCGATAAACCAACTTTAATTTTTATGAACAAGGTTACAAATTAACTGTTATTCTCCATTCTTCTTTCCTTTTCAAAGAAATGATTGAGATTTGGGACCTAAACCACGAAAACGCCAATGCAGCCATCCCGTTTGCCTGGAATAAAACCCAGGCAGGAACTACCAGTGTTACGCGATTTTACCGCTCGGCCAGGGGTCAACCCTCCTGCTAGAAATCAAACCCGACATGTACTCCAAATAGTCAGCTTTGTTATCCATTCAGTATCCGATAGGTCTACGAAATGTTAAGATGAATCGACTAAATTTCTAACTTACGAAACTGGGTTGAATTTAATTTGAACATTTACCGAAAAAAACCAGCAAAAGCAAACCAGCAGTCAAAGCTTTGACTCAAATTCAGTAGATTAAGTTTTTATTAAAATTTAAAGATTTTGCCCATGAATTCCTGATAAGACGCTTTTAAATTTGCCTACCCCTACGAATTTACTTACCAAGGACACAGAAAGTTGTTTTGGTTTCTTATTCAAGAATCGAAAAATTTTGTGCTAAAATTTAGATTTACAAAAACATTTTAAACAGTCAAAGATATTTGTTTCAATTTTCTGTACTAAATATTCGTGCTGAAAGAGAGTGAGCATATAATAATTAATAAAAATTAATATTTTTATATTTAATTCGAAGTTCCTTTTGTTTTATACAAGATTTACTTGTTTTACTTACCAAAGCTATAAAAAACTAAATAAATTTCACGGGAGTAATTTTTCCTTTCTTTCCATAACAAAGTTATTGATAACACGTGCATAGCATATTTGAATGCATTATTATATCCCAATAATGTGGTAACCGAGAGAAACTCCGTAGTCTTTTTTAACCAGTTTGCACTCATTTCAGAACGTGAGACTAATTTTGAGATAGTATTTTTTGGCCCACGAATTTAGAACGAATGCATAAAGCATTCTTTCTAAATCATCCGAATTTTTTTGTAATATACGTACTGCTATTATTCATCATAATGGCCAATCGCAACGACTAGGATTGCAACGGCAAATCGCCCTCGAGTGCTTTGCCGTAAAGCACTTAAGTAAGGCGTAAATCAGTTTAGATCTTTAAGGTTGAAACTGAATTTTTTTTTTGGTGGGGTGGGGGGGGGGGGTCTTCCGGAGAGGGGTCCATGAAAAAAATTTTTTTTTTTTTTTAAATTAGTGTTAATTTAACCTCTTATTTAAACATTAAGTATTTTTTTTTATATTCGTAGAATATTATCTAGGTTATATTTTCCAGTGATAGTTAATGGAATTCTGAGAATATCAACGCATATTAATTTTAATTAAGTTTTGATATGGCGTAATTAATTTCATTTACAGTTTGCTCAGTTATTGGTTCACATAGTTTTCCCAATTTTAATATAACCGAGTTTGAACACTTCGAAAATAAAGCTAACACTGATCTAAATTCTTGAGAAGCGGTTCGGAAGTTTAAAGATACTCGTATTTATGGATTTAGTAGACTTTATACAAAAGTATTATATACCACTACTAGTAAATGCTTTTTATAACTTAAATTTTACGTAACGATATAATCTAAGTAACTTATTGCTCTGGATAACAAATATATACTAGTCTGTTCATTTGGATTACTTGCATTTAGGAAATGAACGCTAGTTATTTTCTTACGAAAAGGGATGCCTTCCTGGAAGATTTTCGAATGGTTAAAATTCGGTTAAATGATCACGCTTAAGCAAAACAGATGCTGTTCCGGAGGATTTGCCAGGAGAAATTGCATCATACATAGTAAAATTACAAAAGTGTAGCCAGCCAGTTTAGTAGGAATTAAACTAACCGAAAGACCAATTTTCAGCCGTCTTATCACTCAAACACTAGCGGGTTTATTATTCTGGGAAAGAAAGTTGGTTAATTTCGGTTTGGTTTGGTTTATTTTAAATATGGAACAGCATTCGAAGACTATTTGCCTGAGGGTAGGGATGCCATCGTGTAGGACTTTTTAAGGGAGCTGGCTCGTATCCACGTTACACATGGGGAAACCAGGAAGACGCTCATGCAGATAGGCTGCTCGCTGGGTTCAAACCCTGGACCGAAATACCAGTGTTCAGCGACTTTACCGCACGGCCGCTGGTGCGCACTTGATTAATTTCAAAGCATGCATTTGGGCCATGCTTTATGCACAATCACTTATAAATCACATGACAGGTTTTACGGTCAGACCGAATTTTATAATAAAAATAACACTACGCAGAAATACTATAATCAGTTAATTTCCAGGGAGTATACCAGGGCCGTTGAGGTTTGGTTTAATTATGGCAAAGCACACTAGGGCTATCTACCTTGGGGAGGGATGCCTTCGTAGAGGGCTTTCTAAGGGAAACTGGCTGGTATACACGTTACACACCGGGAAAAACACGAAAACGCCCATGCAGCCAGCCCGTTCGCAGCATTCGAACCTCGGACCGAACTACCAGTGTTCAGCGACTTTACCGCTCGGCTGCTGGTGGGCCTACCAGGACCGTTGAGATTTTTTTTCTGAAGATTTGATAAAACAAATTATCTGGATTTTTTCTGTTACAGGGCTGCACATGCCGAATAATTTTCGCCAAGAATATGCACGAAGTTGATACTTCCGGTTCGAAAATATATTTTTGTCATCAATCTATTTCAATTGTGTACAGTTTTTAAGCATAACAATTACATTTCATTTATTTCTTTGGCTTTTTTATTTCAATAAAGAAAAACTAAATATCATTTCATAAACTTTTTTTTTAATGACAATACTTGCACTGAAAACAAGAACGCTGTTATAAGATAAGAACCTATTTAAATTTAAAGGTGGCGGATAGACAACTTTGGCAACTATATTTTTCTGTAGAAAACTGGTACGTGTTGTTCTATAATAGAATAAAGTCTAGTAATTCCTATTTATACTAAAAGCTATAATAACCAAGAAAAACTTCTATTGATACCAAAGATACTGAAATAGATTTCAAAGTTTACCGAAATACGTCAGGTAATTATTTTCTATTGACCGAGATATGAACCAAGGCCCTCATTGGAAGTTTTCCCATTCTGTTTAAAAGACACAGCAAATGTAACTAAACATTGTAACCAAAGTATCAAAAACTAAGCATACAAATAAAAGTAATACCTTCATAAAATTATCTTCAGTAACTTCAAGTTCATTATCTTCCCAAATTGTAATTGAATCAACTATATGCTAAGCTTTGATGACATATTATGGAATATTAATTCACAGTCATCATAAATGTTCTTGCTGACCGCCGAGTTTTCTTATTTGTTAAAACTTTTATTTAAACCCAAACGCCTCTTCTCCAAAAATACACTGTCTTATGAAATGATTAAGTTATAAATTAATTTAGTGTACTTATCAGATGTAATGCATTTAATAAAAATTCAGTCTGCAAATGATTTATACCGGCAGCTTCAATATTTCCCGTACTGAATATACGCCATCGTTTCGAATCAGAGTTTAAAAAGATGAAAATTATAGAAATTGTCTTAAAAGCTAATTCGTTATGTTACTAATTGCTGTACGTAAATATAAATACTTACCTGTGGTTGAGGGTAATAATAAAGTGTATCCGCTGTAAGCGTTTGGAGAACCATTGTAAAACTGTGGAATACAACCTCAGGCTACCTAATGTCTACTGTCGTTCAGTGGTAATATTCTGGGTTAAGCCCAGAACTCGTTCGTTCTTCACCGACGCAAGGTTGAGATGTTGAGAACTCGACCTTGAGCTCAAAATAGTGGCCGTGATTCTAAAGGTGCCCCATTCGGCCCAGTTTGGTCCACTCGAACCTTTCGATGTTGACAATGAACTCGAGATTTCCTTTTATTCATCTTTTGTTTAGGAAAATGACCTCGGATTTCGCAACGAAAAGATGAAAAAATATCTGTTAAATCCAGTTTATCTTGGTTCTTAACTGATCCTAAACGCGGTTCAGCATTCTCTCTCTCTCTTTTTTTTTCCTGTACATGTGTATGTGTTCATAAATAGGTGTTAGGGTTTCCATCTTAAGTTAAGCTAATACTGGACACTTTATGAAAAATTAATTTTCTTGTTAAGAAAGTCTTAAAACATGCACCAAACGAATGCTGATACGCAGAATTAAAAGCAAAGAATTTGTTTAACAAATTGCCCAAAATATTTAAAAGGAGACCTTTCCCTTTAGCAGGTTCATTGTTAAGGTTTAGATGATACAAATGTACATTATTTATTTATTTATTAACAAACGCCCTGGCCTCTGATCTTTGGCAATGAAACTTCCAGGGCGGTCTCCCCTCCGCTGGGGTTAATAGCCTTGTATCCGAACCTAATTATCAGAAATTCTGTACGAAACATCCATCTTCTTAAGCAGATAGCTCTAGCGTGCTTTCTCTTTATACGAATAATCCAGTTAAGCCGCAGAATAGTAGATATTATATTTTTCTTATGTAATATTTTATTATATGATATTTGCTTTATGAGATTTTATTAAATAAAATTATATATTATACATTATTTTATTATGCAGTATATTATATTTTATTTTTATAGTATATATTACATTTTTGGTACAATTATTTATTACAAACTAGTTTTCGTTTCAGTTTGTAATTTCACTAACATGTCTTTCATTTGAAAAGGTTGTGCTAGTGAAATAACAAACAAAGACGAAATTATCTGATTTTATCCTAAAATACTTGCATCTCAGTAAAAGCATTGCTAAAATTTTTTGTTTTGTTCCTTTTTTTTGTGTGTATAAATTAATAACTTTTCCTCCAACTTTTAGAGCTAGAGAGCGGAAAAGAATACCGAAATATTTTCTTCCCAGAACACCACTCCGGCCTAATTAAGGATCAGAAACTGTCCGAGAACATTCCAAACGGACTGCAGCTCTAAAATTGAAGCCAACGCCGTTTGATAACTAGAATTTGTGTCGAACTCTGACTTATTGTATCAGCTTTGTCTGGGAAAGGAATTTATAAGAAATTATTGATTGCCCTACCCCGTATGAGCTCCCTGGTGTAGCTAGCAGCACGCCTAACGGACAGCGGAAGATCGTGGTTCAAATCTCGGTGAAAGCTTAGCTGATTGGCTCACATTTCTCACTCTGAAAAGGATCTCAATAGCTCTGCATTAGTACCCGACTAAAAATGTTGTGGACGATAATTCACCACCACTGAATCTGGTCCATCCAGTCGATTCGGTTTCTCGTTGCTGTCCCATTTTCTTTCTTCCCAATCGCCTTTAACAAAGGAACTGATGGAGAATGACTGGTGAAGATTAAAAGGAATTCTTAACGTTTTGAATAAGAATGACTGGTGAAGAATATAAGAAAATTTTCCTCTGTGCGTCCTCTCGCAGTGTAACTGGTAGTACGTCCAGCTAGTATCGGAAGATTCGTGGTTCAAATCTCTGTAGAATATAACTGATTTGTCTCACGCTTCTCACTAAAAACAAAATCCTATTAACATCAGAGGGTTAAATTTAATTAAAGTTAGATTAGTTTAGTGTATTAATTAAAAAGCCTGGATAATTATGCATTACTATTTCCAAATTTATTTAAGGCAATAAGTGACTTATCGGTAGTTAACTGTTCCGCAGACAAATTATGTATTTTATTATTCACCTCACCCGAATTTAGAGCAGGCATTTTTCGCATAAATGAATGGTAGATGGAAGCGATGTGTGAATTTTAAATTTAAAGCGAACTCAATTTAATTTTGTGAAAAAAATGTTTTTAAAATCTACTGGCAATATCGAAGAATGAGGTTTAAGAAAAATTTTATTATGAATCAATGATATTATTTTTAAGTTCTCACTCTTGACGAAGGGAAGGAAAAATTTACATATTGTTAAACGTGCTAATTTTTAAAAATCCTTGCTGAATTTTGATGATCAAAATCACCGCTTCTGCTATTTTATGGGGTATGTCTTTCCGATACAAGATAATTAGGAATAGATAAATTTTGAGCTCTTTAGTAAACACTGCATAGCCATCACTAAACATCGTTTTCCATTGTCAACGATTTCACCGTAACCATAAAATAAGCAATAAAAATTAGTAAGTTGATTTAATAATGGAAAAAAAGTTCTCATGTTAATATTTATTATTTATTTTTAAAGAATATCATGAATAAAAATCGGAGATTTTTTCTTTGCAATTCGAGAAGTCAATGTCAGTTAATTTGGTCCCAATATGTTTAACGGCAAATGAATGGTAGCTGAAGTAGGAATCATTACACTTATTTTTGGATCAGGCTTAAAATCACCAACAGCGGCCAACTAAATTCAAAACAAACATGCATTGAAATCCGAGAGCAGTTTAAAGAAGGAGTGAGGCAAATTTGTCATCATAATTTAATACACCAGAAAAAAGTGAGAAGAGCTTTAAGAAAGTAACCGAGGATTTCTGCCTAATGTTACAATTCATTCGTGAAGTTGTGAGTAAGTTTAAAAAATATGATGTGTACACCACATGACTTCCTTGTACGGAATATTAAATTATACGCATTTTTTCTTACATTTCATTTAACCTTATTGGATTGAATTAAATCTACTTGGCCGACAGCGCATAAACCACAATAGAATAAATGCATTCTTTAAAATTCACGCTACTTGTTTACCATAATGACACTCTGGTGCTAGGTTCACTTAACAGTATTATATTTCGTTTCTATTATAACTCAGAATGCACAAAATTTATATCATTTAAAGGATTATCTAATCGTTGCCACATGTTCTATTCAAATACTATAATAAAGCTAGAACGATGTATAAAAGAAATTAAGCAAATAAAACAAAAAAGAAAGTTTTTGACAAACGATTGAGTATTTCTCATTCAATTAATTCAGTTCTCACTTCGCGACAAGGCAAAATTACATAAAAACTCAAAATACCTGTATTAAAAATTACGAAGTAAATCTTAAACACTTATTTCCTCGAAAAAATTCCAGAACAGACTAAGCATGATTTAATTTGTAATAATAAATGAAGGCGTTACCTTTGTTGTTCAAAGCTACGTTTCTCTAGATTGGCAACAAATCCACTATTACGCTGTTCCAAATGTAAACAAGTAATGGCCGCCATCAAAAAAATTATTAAGCTTAGCGGCACTTAAACAATTTTAAAATTGTTGATAATTCTAAAAATATTGCATATATATTTACTAAAGGCATAAAAACCTTACCGGAAGATAAAAACAACACAATTCAATCATATTTAAAGCAAAAAATGTACAATTTACAAGCATATAAGAGTAAAGATACTGAGATCACTGAGCCGGGGTAACAGAGTGGATATATTTATATACGTTTGGCGCGGCCGATTGCAACCAAAATACGAGGTGCACATCTACATGTTATAGCAGTCTTATATACAAAATTTCAACGTTCTGAGGCTACTCGTTTTTGAGTTATGCGAGATACGTACGTACGTACATACGTTCGTACAGACGCCACGAAAAATTCTCTTCAGAAATCATTTTAAAGCAGTTTTTTAGTTATTTTGGAGGAAAAGAGTCTTTTATTTTGTCCTTACGTACAGATATCACGCAAAAATATCGTTAAATTGCATTTCAATAGCGGTCAAAATGGATATTTTCGTTGAAATATGTTGCCTGAAACTTTTCGCGATTACAATACTTCCTTTTTACTTCGTTCAAAAAAGTAAAAATAAAAATAAAAATAAGTTATAATTTGTTACAGAATAGATTTCACTCAAGCGGGGTGCACTGAGACTGAGAATCTGAAGTGAGCCCATTTTGTTAATAATAGAAATAAATTATTAAACAATATAATCAAAATTAAAACTAATATAAGAATTTTGACAAGAAAGTGTACTTTAATTGTGTGAATACAGCGAGTCTCGCCGTAATGTTTTAGATGTAGCTATAATGAAAAACAATAGTTTAAGGGCGAAAACAAATTTTTATAGACTGAAATTTGTAATTTAGCAGGCTGTTTCTTAATTTATGTGGAATTTATTATTTTTTAGTGTTTTAATTAATAAACTAAATTCTTTTGTAAAGTAATTACTACATATTTTTTATTCTTTCCGTTTAATTAATAGTAGTGTTTGCTCTGATTTTCTGGAGATGTTAGATTACCAATTAATTAACTTAATGGTATTGAAATTGATCTTTTATCAAATAAAGTTATTTGAGTTTATAAATTTGCAGGTCTAAGAAGTCTGTTTCTGTATCATTTTTGTTAGTTTTGTTGAGTTTAAAGCATTCAATATTTAAATGTAATTATTTATGGAAATGATGTCGTCATATATCTGAAATTAAAATTGAAAAGTTCTTGTTTTTGGGAGCTGTTGATAAAATTAAATTCTTTAATGAAGAGAAATAGGTTACACATGGTAGCCGAAGAGTTAGTACCCATAGGAATATCATTAATTTGTAGATATATTTTATTTTGAAACTTAAATTGTGAAAAAGTGTGTTCTTGAGATGAGAATCCCCTTCTTTGCAAATCAGTTAAATATTTAATGCTGGGGAAAATGTTAACAAAGTTCAATTAAACTAATCTCATTCTAAATCTCATTAAGAGTTCTAAATCTCATTAAGAGGCAAAATGGTGAAAAAATTTTCAAAATCGTAGCAGTTAATATTGTATATCCGATTTTTGTTGATAGTCTTAATAACTTTCTAGCTATTGGTGATAATCCAATTTTTATGTAAAGTAATATTAGTATGCTCCCGAACTTAGTACAAATATTTTTTCACAATTTTGGTGAAATTAACAGCCATTCCTTCTTCGTAATTGTTCACCTCATTAGCTAGAAACTTGCATTTCATTGAACTCTTGTGAAATCTTCTAATACATAAGTGGAGAATTTATTATATTGATACTTGCTAATAATTTAAAGTTTTTGTGAAAGGCTTTAAATTTATTAATTAGTGTGTTTTCTTAATTTTTAGAGATTTGGTATGTAATTTTAGTATCATCTTTATTGTTAATAATTTCTTGCTAGCATTTTTAACAGATAATACAAAAATTGTTCTTAGCTTTATCCATAGTGGTGATAATAAATTGGTTTTTAAGCTCTTTAATCTTTTTATTTGTTTTGCCTCAAAATGTTGTCATTTTTAAAACAAAATTGAGGCTTATGAAATTATTTTTAATGTTGTTGCATACATTGTGCTTCCATTGTTCAAATTAGTTGAGGGCATAACTGTATTTGGAGCTGGTGCTAATAATAAATTGGTATTAAACATGGCTTGATCTTTTCAAGGCAAATATTTTTGCTGGGATTGTAGTTAATTCTGAATTTACCAAGTAAAACTATATGGATTTACCAAATGCTTAGTGCCACACTTCACCAATTCTTTTAGTTGTTTGTTTTCAATAATATTTAGATCTCCGGCAATAATGTGTCCGTGCTACTGATCAATGTACTTTCCATAGTGTGATTCACGGCAGAAGCAAGGAGGATCAATAAATGGATAACTGGCCTGGTTGGTAATGATACTACCCAACTTTTTGTTGTATTCTTGAAACAAATTTTGGTGTTGGAATCACTGACAGAGAATTCTTTTTTTTTTTTTGGGGGGGGAGTATTTTGTCAATTTTAGTATAGTCAAAGTTAGGAAGTAGGAAGTATTTCTAGTTGTGTAATATCTGCGTAATATTTCTAGTTGTGTACTTTTATATATACAAAGCGGGATGAAAAACTTTTCCGATAGTTGAACCTCTAGCGGCCTATCTGCTCAACCTGTCGAAATGAAATTTCATATATTGTTATTTGAAGATATGTGCTCGATTTGGGGATGATTTTAAATAATATAGCTATTGCGGTTACGGTTACAGTGGAAAGATTTTAAAATTTTGGAATGGCACCCATTTTTTTCCTGCGCACATTGATCAGCACATTGAAAAACCATAAATGGCGTTAGAACGATGCACATATGAAGAAAATTTCCAGCGTAAAATATTTTCAAAGCAGAGCATTGTAAATGACAAATGACTACACAAGAAAGGAGAGTGAAAGAGTCCTTTTTTGGAATTACAAATTTTCAACGCGCCTTCCTTAACAGACGGTAACACATTACACGCCAGAGATTGTTGATTATAATGACAATGCTCTAAGAAAAAATATAAAGTTTTTGGCAAGGAGTCCAGCAAAAATGTATATTACATGAAAGTAATACTTTCATACATTTTATAAGACAGCAGTGATATAAATGTAACCTGTTAGTAACCAAATCTAATCAGAAGTATTCCCAAACCGGATAATAACTTTTGGTCAATGAATAACTATAAAATCTGAAACTGAGTTTCTTGCATACTAATTGTGACCTTTTATGAACTATATAGAAAAGGCGCATTTATAAACGTGGCTTCTAATAAAACAGAATTTTCGTAAATTCTGTTAACTAAACATCTCGAAGCAGAATGCGAATTTTTTAAAATTAGAATAAATTAGAATAGAAATGTTTTACTGCGTGAACGAAAACGTTTTATTATTAGCACTACCTTTTTAGGTACCTTCTGTTAACGGGACAGTATTCAGAAATCAATGTATGTATGCATGTAATGTATGTATGTGTTCATATATGTATGTATAGTATATATGTACGCACATATGTATGTGTACACACACACATATATACGCATATATATATATATATATATATATATACACGTGTGCGTACATACATGCATTTCTGAATCCAGTCCTGATAACAGAAGAGTACCCTTTTTATTTCGTTTGTAATTTATAATTAATGACTTCAATTATGTTGCTATAAAGGAAGGAATAATGGTCTTACGGATAACAGATGCTTCATATGTTTCACCTCACTAAAGATAATAGTGAGAGCCTATTGAAACAGATAGCTAGCTATGTCTTGCTTAAAAATAATAACAGAGCTTCTGATAAAGAATTAGTGCAGTGTTGCAAATTAAATTTTAAAATGTTTAAATATAAAGGAAAAGTTTGCATATAGCATAATTATTTTCAAATATACTGTAAAGAAATTTGTATTGAAACTATATATGAAAAACACAGTTGAAAGACTATAAATTTATTTCCAAATACTTAACAGACCTATAAGCAGAAAGCTCCAATGGATTCCATTTTTTAGGGCTTTTGTGCACACAGAAATGACAAGGCTAACATATATTAATAAAGTGCACTAGAAGTTCCCCCTTAAATATAAATAGAATCTAGATATAGAGTTTCCAAGATTATTTGGTGAAAATTATAATCTCACGTAAAGTATCTTCAGTTACAGATTTGCCGAGTTTTTCGCTGAAGCCTACTTTTGGATATGTGGCAATAATCCTTACAGGTGCACCGCAACTCCTGCCTAGCTTCATTGGGAAAACATGGAGATTAGCACCATATATTGGAATCTCATCCACGTTTGCTACATTTTCTAATCCAAAAATGTTTGCTCCCAGAAGTATTCTATGAGCCATGTAATCCTTCGAAGGACCGTTATCTAAAGACAAAGTGTCTATTCCAATTCCGTAAATACTCCGGTTATCTACCAGCCACTGGGCTGCTTCCTTGGAAATCCCAGGAAAATGAAGATTATCCGTTCCATTCTCTATGGTTCCAGTAAAATTTCCTTTATCTGGCCAGCGACTTCCCCACCCAGAGCGGATTAAGACAATGGTGGCATCCAGGCTTTGTCCAGACAGTCGCTCCCATTTCTCCAGATCTTGAATTTGAAGCAGAGTGTCATTGTCTGCCTCTGACTTATTACTTATGTCAATAACTGCAGCAGGAGCCACCAGATGGTTGAGCGGTAATTCTTCAACACTCCATTTACCTTTCGCGAAGTGGCATGGGGCATCAAGATGAGTCCCAATATGTGTAGCCATGGCAAATTCTTCTGCCTGAAACCTAGGGGGAAAAAGTATAATTTAATCTGAAAATTTCAAATTTCAGTCTAACGCCTCAAGAGTTTACTATTAAAGTTTCAAATTATTAAAGAAATTAATATGCAAAACTAATAAAATTAAAGAAAACTCAATCTGATTTTGGTATGTAGATTTCAGCTTAATTCTCGAAGCAATTATAATATGTTTGAGGTAATAAACTGAATTGTTATAGTACTTTTCTTTTTCTATTAAATATAGTAAGCCACAAAAAACCTTATAGTTTAAAAAAAAACTGAGAGGTTTAAGATTTTAAAGATCATCTAAAAGAATTAAGGTTTTTTACAATCTCACTGAGCTCGTAGCACTCATTCCTGGTAACGCTTATTTTTGTCTTTTTAGTTTTATTATTAAGCACAATTTAAGCATAATAAGCACATGAGGCTTGCAATAAATATTTCTTCTGAATGAAGTGCAAAAATTTCTACTTGAGAGCACGCTAAATCAACGAACTGGAAATAATAAACTCCTTTTAAGAAGTTTCCTCTCAAATTGTTAATAATTAAACGAATGGAAAACTATTGGCAGTCGTTTTATCGTAAGTGAATTTATAAAGTTAACCATCGTATTAAAAAAATGGGGAAAGGGCATCATTAGAAATTTAAAGCCGCATTCTGTAAAATATGGTTAGTTTTTATTCCCTAAATTGGATTAAACTCCAGATTCACAGAGTTCCGTTTAAAGAAAGATGTTATTACTTTCTGCAAGAAGGCTGGATTCACGCTTAGGGAACAGCACGTGTGTATTACATAGACTAAAACATTTTTCGTCGCTGCCATTTCATATTAAGGAGCAGATTTTCGTTTTGGAAACTTGCATTCGACTCGATTAATAGATAGTTTGAATTCTGACTGAGACAGCTTCTCTTATGTCTTGCTGTTATACACTTTGAATTGAAATGGATTGAAAACTGCGGGATTAAAAAACTTATTTATTTCTAATATTTTATACTAAAAAGAGAAAAATTAGTAATTTAGATTACGTATGATTATTTTATGAATTCTACAAATTATTACTGACTATCTTTAACTATATGAGAGATAATCATTCACCTTGCATCAGCTCTTCGATGGCTATTGGTTAGGATATCAGAACCCAGTGCGCGATTAGGTAGTATCCAATTATTAAGATATAAAATATTATTACTTTCTCCTTGCTACTTCAAACAGTAGAAAAATATTTTAGAGATTACTCTAGTGTAGAAACTTTACACTTTTTAAAGTATAAAGTGATTTATATGCTGATTATATCTAATTTATATGTCATCAAATTTCGAAATTGTGCTTCGCTACATTTTAACGTTGTTATGCAATAATTTAATATCCAAGAAAGTTTTAAGACTATAGGAAACACATTAAATCCCTTCATATATATATTTTATTATAGTAATATAATAATAAAACGATTTTGTAATAATACAGACATTACATTGGTTGTTAAAGAATGCAGTAAGGAGAGGAACGATTTGTAAGGAGGGGCTGTATGGAAATTTTTAAAGCAAATAAAATTAGATTTCTTTCGAAAAAGCGTTTGAATTCATAAGTAGTCTCAAATTTACATATCAGATTCTGAGGGATATTTTGAAAGTGGATAAACAAAATAAAATATAAAACTTAGTTCTTATTTTAGGTTTATGCTAGTGAAAATTGTTATAGTAGTAAGCTAATTGAAAACATTTTACTGCCATAGAGAAAGTTCCTAAAAATCTTTTTTGCCCTAATTTTTCTCCACCTCATTTTTCTCCCTGTTAGCTGTTAAACAGATCTTGAAGGAAAAAGTCCTGTTGGTCTTGGAAGTCTTAAAATACTTTAATCTATGCCGTAGAGGCTTATGAAAAGAAATTCCAATTTATAAAAGAGCAAATTAAAATACCTTCGATCTTGGCAGAGGTTTTCAGAAACTCTTTTGAGGAAAGTATTAAAATTAGCTAAGAAGAACTGGAAAAAGTTTTTTTGATTCCAAAGTGGAGATCTGATGGCTTACAAGGGCATGTTCTTTGCAAACAAGTTGTGGTGTTGCGCGACCCCAACCTACACGCAACAATAATAGTGACTGCTATGAACTGGAAAGTACACAAAACTCTTAAGAAGGGTTTTAACTCCCTTTTTATTCTACTTTAGAAGTTACAGATGCGTGCACTTGACGCTCACAAACTACGCCGACCCTGCGATAAAATAAAAAATAAGAAACTAAAAATGAATAATAACAAGTTACTACCTACGAGGCTCTCTAAACGTAACTAACCTAACCGTTCTAAGATACAGCTGATATTTCAGCAAACTTTCTTAATAAGGAATTGAAAGATTCAACTATCTGCCTAGGCAAGCACACAGGCCGAAACGCGCGGTTCTTCAATTTCTTCCTAGCCACCTTCACGCTCGTGAAGCAAGAAAGCACAGTTACAAACTCGTTTCCCTTCTATTTAACTCAAAATTACTTCTGCTAAAAATTTGAATACTTTGCGCGTTCTACTAAAATTTACATACTCTGGCATTGGCAATTCCAGGGGAAAGTAAGGCTTGACAGGAAAGATAGTTTAAACTTAAAATAAATGTTAGTTAAAATAAATATAAACCCTACAAAAGTATTCCATGGATCTGAAGCCCTATGATGCAGCAGATGCTTTTATAACATCTAGTTTTCCCCTTCGTTTAGTCTGCTATCTTGACAGCAGCAAATCTAAAATAATTCAGCAGAATCCGTAGTCATTTTATACGAGACATCTATGAGTCATCTTCTGCAGACTTTTAGAAATAGAGATTACAATAAGAATCCTGAAAAAATGCATGAAAAGAAAGCAAAATCCGATAGATGAAGTAATCAACCATCCGCATAGCAATATTTTGACATAATTGATTGTTAGGCACGCAACTTTCTCACTGATAATTTATTTACTCATCAATGCTTTATTTTCGGCTAAATAATGAAAGAGTTCATTATAACAAGTAAGTATATAACAATAAAGAGGAAACTACCAAAAATAAAATTCAAAAATTTGCGAAGGAAATTTTAGATTTAATTGTGCCTCCATCTTTAGACGAAAAATTCCAAGAATACAACAACTGTAGTAAATTTATGGTACACATATACTATGTTAATTTTATTTACTATTTTTATGTAAAAATTTGGTTTATATTACTATTTAATAATGCAGATGACGTAAATGACTTTTTTCACAAATGTTTGTAAGGATCTCCTCACCAGTAACCTTCTGCAGCTGTCCCATTATGAATTATTTTCAATCGGAATTTCCTTTGACCTGGCCAACCTAGAGTTGACTCATCATAAGAATATGACATGTCCACCACTTCATCCGGTATAGGAGTCCCTGTGATGGAATAACTCATCCACAGAATACATAAGCATCCACAAAAAAGCATCTTAAAACTATTTGAAACCTGAAAATAAAAGATACAGAACCAGATTTAGTTAGTACATGCACGTTCATAATGAAATATTCATCTAATATTAGTTTTAGTATTATAAGAAAATAAACCAAATGAGTAACTTAGACTAATGAGCACCTGATAAGTGAGATTCTTCAATTCAGGAAATAAACTTATACCATACCATTGCTGTAAAAGTACTCTGAAACTGTATTCTTTTCAAATGATTAAGTCAAGATATTTCTTGTGTAATAATACTGTAATAATATATGGTGTGTTGCGGTTCTAAATGTAAAAATGAAATAGAATTAAGTGTAGTGAATTATAATTACTTGAGCACCAAAAATAGTCACTTGGCATTTTTTGAATTAAAGGATTAGCAAAGGTAAATCAAATGAATTGCTTAGTTAGTAAATCGCGTTGTGTAGCAATAACCCATAAATACTTACTAACGTGCAGATCAAAATGTGTGATCTAGGAAGGAAATATGAAATCAAAGTACTTACCCCGAAGTATGACAACTGTATGTTACCAAATAAATTAAATTTTATTCTTCATCTTTGATATTGAAATAAGCATTAATATAAATAAAATTATCAACCAGACAGACGAATAAATTTGAACATCAAGCACGAGTGATGCGCATCACCAGAATTAACGTTGCACTCAGAATAAAGTTAATCTTTCTCCATCAGCTCAAAAAAAGTCTTAGTGTAAAAGGAATCAATCAAATTTTGATGGCAGTCTTTAAGCGTACTTGATTAATCATGGTATTTCTGCTTTTTCCCTTCTTTAAAATCAGGAAGTTTCAGATCTCACAAATAACGCGTGCGCGCGAAGATTTCTCAAAAGGAGGAAGAAGTTGAACAAAAATTATTTTCTGCAACAAGGTACAGGAAACAGGAGTAATTATTTTCTTGAACCTTCATGTAAAAATCTCACTAAAAAGGATTTTCATGTATAGCAGACAGCATCGAAGGAACAGCAAAAAAAAAAAAAAAAAAAAAAAAAAAAAAAAAAAAAAAAAGCAGGAAAATGGCATATCGCATCGGCCAGCCCCTCAAACGCCAACAGCAGAAGACAGAAACCGGTTGTTGCAATCTTTTTCGTGTTGCCCTTGAGCGGTTGTGGTTAGCACACTTGAGGCTGAATAATGTGGAGGCTTGCCTGCACAAATACCTATGATCGATCTAAAGACAGAACGCAAAAAACCTTTGGAGAACCTGAAGAATACTAAATTTTAGGAATCTTTTAGGAGAATCTTTTAGCTGTTGACATTTTTTACATATTTATAGAGCTCAAAAATAGTTCAGGTTCAACTTACGTACTCTTTTGACAAAAGCTTTGGGATAAGGTAATCCTAGAATCAAAATTTTATATAAATACAAAGGATTGATATAACCTACGTTGCTATAACAACCTGTACTGGAAGAAAGGCTTATGAAGTATATGTTAATTAATGAATTTTTATAACTTGAAATTTTTCTGTAACTTTTCCTTTCCATTATCCCTCATTAGGATGCGAATGAAAGGTTAGGGTTTTGAACGTTTTTGACAGAGAGAGAGAGAGAGTTTTTCATTCAAGTAGAATTTTTGGCACTGAAGCTTGCAGCTTTACTTTCTATCTCCTACTTTCTTCAGAATTTCATGAAATTGCATCTGGTAAAACGTAGCATCATTTAAAGCAGTGTTTTTCGAACATTTCTCAGCACGGAACACTATTCGAATATTAACGTGTTTAGGAATATTAGAGTAAGCTTGAGATTTCAATTATAATAAATAATATCACATATATAAGCAAAATAAACATTTTTCCAATTTTTGTATCATACTTGTAAAAGAAACGTTTTTCAGTTTTGACTTTATAGAAAATGCTACATAAAACTGATTAGATGAAGCTCTAAATTGTTCTAGGTCTACATAAAAGAAGAATCTGCTTCTTTGTTTTCTAACCTCGGTTTCGTACATTTTTGCTGAACACTTAGTGACTGTTTGCGGGAAGTTATAAGCATGAATTCTTATACCAGATAAAGCACTAAGCCGGATTCTAGATCTGGATTTTGTGGCAGGTTATTATGAGAAACCTCTCTCATATAATATATCATCTCGAAAGGAAGTAAAATTTATATTTTATCTTTAAATTTCTTTTAAAAGTTGTTTTAAATTGAGTTAAAAATGTAAAAGGAGGCAACTGTCGCCGTTTTCTAATCTTAGTTTCTTAAATTTTTGTGGAGAACTTAGTGTCTGTTTGCGGAACATACTTTAGGAAACACTACTTTAGAACACCTGGATAGGCGGTTAAGTTAGGCACTGATTTTCGGTAAGATCATGAGGGCAATTCAAACCCATTCTACTAATGATAATCAATTAAATTAAGGTCAAGATTCTTCGAAAACTGATTAAGTTCTTTCTGATAGGTGCTACAGGACTGTGCAGTTATACACTTTGCTTTATGAATACGCATATTGGCATGTCAATAAATATATATGAACCCCTGAGGAGCTGTTCATGCACTATAGGCAGCAATGAATTATTGAAAATATCCAAACAGATTAAAATATTTAAACGTTGTTTCACAGAAAGCAAACACATTCCAAAAGGAACAATCCCTCTGTGTAATCAAATTTTACAGTCGGTACAATGCAGGTAGGAGTTCAAAATTCTATTTTCACTCTTTATAGCTATATGCCGCGCCAGCTTGCCAAAGTGTGTACTGCAAGCCCCCTCTGCTCCATGCTTCATAATCCAAATGCAACGAGCTTTCTTCCACGTAAACTTTCATCAAGATTTTTGGCTTTATATACAGCTTTTTGCCTACGATAATCTTTACATTTCATCTTGCACTGAAAGCTCCTTGAGTTAAGGTGTATCTTTATGCACTCTGCAGTTTATAGTTGATTCTGTCAGAGGAAGTAAACGGCTTTTATTGTAGATCCTTTTCGCTGATCTAAGTTCGTAAGTTTTGCCACTGACTGCTTCAAAAATATTAATCACACCTATTTGTAATTTTCCATGACGTCATCGAAGTTAGACTTACAGGTTTAACAATCCCGAAACCTCACAAGCCAATCTCCCACTCAGTGTCATTAAATTCTTAGGTTAGATTAATTTTATGTCTGTTGTCAATGGTATTGATTTACCGTATAAGGTATTTCTCCCGCCTTTTTAGCATGCCTTCGTGGTGTAGTGGTCAGCACGCTCGACGCGTATTCGAGAGGTCCGTCGTGCGAGTTCAGGAGAGGGCACTGCTCATTTTTCCCATCTCCTCTTTCGAAATAACCTAATGTGCCTACAACCGTTCTAAAGGCAGATTTTGCTATTTATAGCGCAGTTCGTATTGCCATAGACGTCACAACCAGACAGGGGAGTAGCTAGAGGAGGGGCAAGGGGGGCATCTGTCCCCGAGCGCAGAATCCAAGGGGCGCCAAACTGATGTTACGACATTTTAGAATTAAATGTTTTCCATCCTTGGCAAGCAGTAGGGGGCGCGAAATCTTCAGTTGTCCCTGGGCGGTGAAAACCCTAGCTACGACTCTGCAACCAGAACTTTCATTTATAAGACGGGTGTCTCAATTCCTTTGCCAAATACTACACTGGTGTGCAAAACTTAAGCAACAGCAGGGTTTTTTGCCATAACTCCACGAGAAATCAACTGAGAGACATGAAATGCAGAAATGAAGGAGAGTATTATGTACGTAAAGGACGACGAAAGCATCGGAGCTGAAAACGGAATACAATGCATACGGTATGGAATCAAACAAAAACAAGCTTTATTGAACGCATAGTATCGTTGACTCATGACTGTCTGTTCCAAGATGGAAGAACAACAAACAGATGTTCCTTAATATGGGATATGCCCGTCTCCTATTGCAATGGTTGCTTCGCACCTTCGTCTTGCGCATACTCAGCACCAGATGGTGTCCAAGCAGATCTTGCGGTAGGTGCCCATTCCTCAATCAGCATCTGTTTAAGTTTTTAGGTGTTACCCTGGAGGATGTAATCGTGCTGAATGCGTCTCCTCCCCAACATGGCGTAGCATCCCGACACATGTTCGATGCATCCCCACGCATACGATGCTCCCACCACTATCGATGGAATTTAAATCAGGGGAGTACGCTGGCCATTCCACTCGAGTGATATCTTCACTTTTCCAGTAGCTTCTTGAACAGCATGAGTCCAGATGTGTAGCCGCGCATTACTATCCATAAAAACGAAGTCTGCTCCAATATCACCTCGGACAGACGCACATGGGGAAGGAGTCACCTCCTCACAATAGCGATCCCCGGTTACAGACCCTCTGTCGAAAACGTGGAGCTCAGTTCGCCCGTTCAGCATAATGCCTTCCCAGACAAGAACTCCAGGACCACCGTTACGGTGTCTTTCCTTGATGTTACTGCGATAAAACCCAGTCCCGACTTCTCTCCAAATCAAAATGCGTCGAGAATCGCTTCTGGTACTGAACCGACTCTCATCCGTAAAGAAGACACGACTCCATTGATCAGTTATCCAGTTTTTGTGCTCTCTGCACCACTGTAAACGGTGGCGTCGGTGGCCAACTTTCAACGGGAGGCAGCATTCAGGACGGTGGGGGAATGGGCCTCCTTTGTGAAGGCGTCTGGCCACAGTAAATCGCGACACTTGTCGCCCCGTTGCTGTACAGAGTTGATGAGCAATGGCGCTTGTTGATTGATGTCGGCCTCTTTTCCCCTGCAGGACGATATATCGGTCATTCCCTGTAGTTGTCGTCCTCAGGTGGCCACCACCAACCTTTCTAATAGCTATACCTGTGGTATGGAACGCTTTCCAAGCGCGCGAAACGACACTTTTGTTGATTCCGAACTCTGCAGCTACACTGGTGACAGTACGCCCCTCTTCCAACTTTCCGATCATTCTTCCACGTGTGAGTCGTCCAGGTGATTTTCTTCTAGCCATATTTCACGAGCTGCTCACTGGCATTTGCAATGAATAGGTTGAATTGCGTCTCCGTCCTTCCTTTTATTCTACTGTTGGCTGCGCGACATCACGCGTTTTTGTACCTCAACGTCGCCTCTGACATTTCGTCCTGATTTTGCATCCGCATGACGTTTTCTACTGACTTACGTGTTCATTGTACTGATCTCGAGACCTCCTCTTCTGCAATTTCATGGCTATCTGCTAAATTTTTACATTATTGCTTAAGTTTTGCACACCAGTTTATTTCGGGCGCACAACATGTGCGAAGAGGGTGTAAATAATAACGGTGCGTTACACCATTTCACTTGTATTGTATACGCATGTTCCTATATTAGATTTATTATCATTCTTCATTTCTTTGCTAGGGGGAAAAAATAATAACTAGTAACTTCGATAAGGGGGTTTAATTATCACATTAATGGTTTAACTACCAACGGTATCAATTTATTTAAAAAATGTATATTTTTTTCCTCTTTAAAATTATTTTGAATTTAAACAATGCGAAAGTACTGAAAATAATTATATAATTTCTCATCCAAAAATGTTTTCTCGGTTGAAGAATGTAATTATAATATCATTGTGGAATCGCAAAAATAGTTTTTCCACTGTTGTACTTGAAGTAATTCTTAATTATGCTTATATCAAATGACTGAAGGTAAACAAATGGATTCCATTAGAAAATGAGTAGCCATTACAAATGGAATTTCCTTTTAAATTTCAGCTTAAAAGTTAAACTGGAAGGTTTGAAAATTGTGCATTAAAGTCTGGAGAATAAAAGGCAACAGACTGCATATCCTCTCTGAAACTTATAAGATATTGTCTCCTTTCTTTCCGCATGCCTTCGTGGTGTAACTGGAAGCGTATCTCAGTAGGCTTCGGATGTGTATTCGTCAGGTCCAGGGTTCGAGTCCCCGAGAGGGCTCTGTACATTTTTTAACCTCTTCTGCTTCAAAATAACTATCTAATAAATAACTGGCTAACTTTCAATGACTCTAAGAGTGTCACCTGAACTAAAAGGTGGTCGATGATAATTCATTTGATTTGGCGATCAAATGAATTATCATCGAGGCGATTGGGATTTGGCGAGGATTTGGCGATTGGGTCCCCAAATCCCCAGTCGCCCTTTAAAAGGGCAGTATATAAGGTATTTTCTCCCTTCTTTCTGCATACCTTTGTGGTGTAACTGGAAGCATACTCGACGCGTAGTCGAGTGGTCCAGGGTTTGAGTCCTAGCGAGAGCATAAAAAAAAAACCTGATGACTATGCAAACTATAATTAGGGTTGTAAGAAACGAATGTTTTTAATACGCTTATTAAAAGCAAATGTGTTTTAGTAAGAATATCTGCTATTAGAAAACTACAAAAAAATCATTAAAAAATACGAAAATATTTTAAACTTTTAATTTATTTAAATATAGTAAACTTGAAGGTCAATAATAAATACGTTTTCTTTTTTGGGGGAAAAATTGCATGCATATTATGATAATTTTTTCTAATTGTATAATAAAAAATAACAAACTGTTTGTTTTTTAAAAAATAGTTTTAAGCAAGGTTAAAGTGGAAATGAATACTAAATTATTCAATTATTTAATCAGTTATCCATCCATATATTTTCCCTCTAAAACACTATGGTATTTTTAAAATTAATTAATTATTTTTTAATTCATAACATATAAACTAAGTATATAATCAAAATGTACAAGCCGAGTTCTTATTTTGAGTGCCTGCATTTTCACTAAGTGCTTAGTAAACATTTAGATTTATGAGAAACGTTTTTTAAGAATGCGGAGTTAAATAAAATTTATTATAGTCACAAGAAAAGGGCATCTTTTGAAATTAATGATCAGTAAATTTTTTTTTCCTTAATCTATATATCTAAGTACAGTGAATTCTTTTTTCTTTAAATTGTTAACAGCTCTTAGTTATGTATCGCAGTTTTTTGTTTAAGCTTTCAACATTCGAAATTTTTTTTAAGAATGTTGATAAAATTTGGTGCCAAAATCTTTACTTTTTATCATAAAATTTCAATTAATCATTTAACAGAAATTATGAGTATTTAAATATATGAAATTACAATTTGTTGAAGGGAAAAAATATGGATTAAACAGTTTAAAAGTGCATAGCCTGGAAAGCTAATAAAATTGCAAAATTCGTGCTATACATAAGGAATAAAATTGAAAAAAAAAAAAAATACTCATTGTAAAGTGGTATATTATAAAAGGTACTTACTTGGAATATTCTATTTTAGCATGCACTCACTAAGTAGAGATCGAAGTTCTATCTTCATCAGTAATTCGATGAGTAACTTTCCTGCCAATGAATCTTTATGCTACAAAATAAAATACCTGATATGACCTTGACAGATCCCTAACAAATGCTAGAAATATTTTTCTCGATAATTATTTCCCATGTGGAGATTCTTAATGTAACAATACCAACGGAAGCCGTATTATGTAAGAAATTTTTCTGTTGCGATTCCCGTCAAATTTATTATAGTCACAAGAAAAGGGCGTCTTTTGAAATTAATGATCCTATCACTAATTGTTAACTGGAAAAAATCCAAGTTTTACTATTAAAGCGGATATTGCGAAAATGCTTCTTTAAAAAGAAATCGGACAAAGAGGTTTATTCAGTCCTTAATGAAGGCTTTGTTACAAAGAAATAATAAAATAACAAAATAAAAGGAAAGTATCTGTAACTTATAACTTATGGGAAAGTTGTATTTATTCTCCACATAAGAAAAACTCATTAAAAAAAAATCCTTCTCATCATTTTCCCCAGCTATTAAGCAGTATGTTTATATGCTTTATTGTTTAGCTGTGATTTTGTTTATACTTAAAAATATTATTTGATTTAAGGAAAAAAATATTATTTGTAACTGCTGTTGTTAGTGGTTCTAGCTCACATCTGCGATTATTTTGACTGAAGAAGATCGAAAAACAATCAAAATTTTGCTTTTGAATTCGATTGAGAACTTGAAGTGCGAAAAAATACTGATTTCTTTGAATGTATGAATGTTTGTACTTAAAAATTGTATGTAAAAATCAATCTCATAAATAATTCCGGAGCTTATATTAGGCAACCATCAAAGTCAATTTGCCATTGATTTAGGATAAAAGTTCTAGGTACACTTTAGAAGGCAATTTTGTTAAATTAACCAGCTTATTATAATTTTAATCTTTATTTTACCTTCTACTTTCCATATTCCTCACCAGAAAGAAAACGGAGCTAAGGTTTCTGGATATAAATCGAAACATACCGTATTTATGCGAATCTAATGCGCATCCCCATTTTAAAACTTTCAATAATAAAAAAATTGTTTGTCGGCGAATGTAATGCGCATCAATGGTATGAGGAATTTATTGAATCTTATTTTATACAACAATGGATTTGTATATAAACTATCAATCAATGGTATGATAATTTTTTTTAAATTTAGATACCATATTTTATACAACAATGGATTTATACATAAAGTAACAACATAGAATTAACCTATTAGTGGGCTATTTTTTATGTGAAACAAGTTAATTACCACTACCGTATTACGGTACATATCGTAAAGTATGAACATGAAATAAATGGTAACATTTCTATCTAGCTAACAGTTTCTACAATCAGTGATTAATAGTAAACGTCTTTATTCACTATTTTGATGATAACTTTTTTAGTCCCCTTCTCCGTAATGGTGTAGTTACGAGGCATATCAAACCAAATTGGCGTCTCGTCAGCGTTGCCAATTTGCCCCACTGAAAAATTCTTTTCCTTCCGAAGTGTGATGACATACCGCTAAAATGTTAGTAGTTTTCCCTCAAAATCTTCAGGAAGCTTTTGGCATATTGTTTGTACGGCGTCTTAGAAATAAGCCCATCCGCTTCATAAACCGATCCACCCATCGACGGCTAGCTTTAAACTCTCGTTTCGGTATTCCAAGAACTTCAGCCCTCCTCTTTTGCTTTATTTCTTATAGTGTCGCTAGTCACAGGTTGTCCATTCTTCCTCCTTTCACGTACAAATTCCAAAACTTTTTCTTCAATTTTAGGGTGTCTTCCTTTGCGAGGGCCAGTGAATTTCGTTCTACTAGTTTTAGTTGCAAACAGTGCCAATTTCTGTTGCCGCCACAAGCGAACATTGCTCTCAGCTACGTTGAACTCTCTCCCAGCCTGTCTATTGCCATTTCTTTCAGGATAAAGAATTACTTTACGTTTGAAAGTAGCGTCATATGACATTCTTCTCTGCTTGCCCTCCATTTCGTGACTACGTACTCTGCAGTATGCAATAATGTGTCAACGATAAATGTAACGATAGATGTAGTGGAGAAATACAGTAATCCATTGTTAACGATTTAAATATCGGTTGACGTCATCGGCGAACTGCTGACGTCATCGGCGAACTTTGCACTCGAATCTAATGCGCCATCGAATCTAATGCGCACCCCAATTTTGAGTACTACATTTGGCCAAAAACGATGCGCATTAGATTCGCGTAAATACGGTAGTTCCTGCCACTCCAGTAGCATTGTTAGAATTCTGCCAGCTTTATCTAAACAGAACTGTATGGGCTTTGCAGATCTCTCATAACCGATTGATTTAAACTCGTCCACTGATGAAAATCTATAGGCTGTGATAGCCTATAGTTTACGGTTCTTGTCACTGTGTAGTCTTAGACTACTTAACAACGTTTACGTTTAATTTGGTTGTTATCGTTTAATTCACCCCACCACAAGTAGTGGTTATTTGTAACACAAAGGGCACCTTCTATTAACCTTTCCAAGATTTGTTATGTTATTATAGACATAGCGATAATTCTCTACTAGTTCACTGCAGGTAACAAAATAAAAGTTAAAAATTAAATTTATATATTTTTTTTTTCATTAATCGGATCAGATGATGCATCATCAGTTGTCTTGATTTGATTAATACCCAACCGTTTTGTTGACGATACGAACTAAAAAGAAAACGTCCCAGAATTAAAACACCCGCATGCCTGAAAAACTGATTAATTTAACATTATGAATATAATTCTAAAATTTAATAATATTTTTTCCCTATACTCAAGTTTCCTAAGAGAATAATTTTATGTATGCTTACATTACTGCGCACGAATATATATATACGTGCGTGTTTCAAAAAGAATATACGTATTTCGAATGCATATATTGTAAATAGCATCAGTAATCTCGTTACAAACTGCTCCACGTTTGCGCTTGTCATCAGGACGCAGATCCTGCAACAAATGTAACTTGTACGGCTTCATAACCGACCGACGTCTCAAAACACCCCAAAGTGTTGTTGTAGGCAGTTAACTACTTAAATTAACTCCCGACTGGCACGGCGAGTTGATTTTGAAGGACTATCTTCGAAAGCAGTTTGAACTCGTGCAACATTTCCGTCGGGAACACGAGGGCGGCCAGGACTCTGTCCTTCACATACAGTAACTCTGTCCTTTACATACTGTATTTACAAACTGTCCATACCATCTGCGAATGTTTCCACCCATTCGGAGGATCACTTTGATACCTCAACTTGAAACGTCTTTGCACTGTAATCACGGAATCGCATTTCGCAAACTCGAGAACACAAAATAATTTCTGCTGCGGAGTAGCTATTTTATTGGTTACCACGCAAAACAGAAGACAATTGATATCTAGCTGCTATTAATATAAACTAGGCTATTTGTTTCGCCAATAGCCGAGCCGAGGCGCACTGATCGACAGTTTGGACAAAATAACACTTTATAATATGTATATTCTTTTTGAAACACGGCATATAGGTATGTAAATGTGTAAACTTTTTTGCGTATAATAAATGTAATATACATATGTATACCCCAAAAAAATTAATATTCAAAATGTATACTTGTTATATAATATTTAAGATACATAAGCGCATGGACTAGACCTATTAACTCAATAAAAGAATAATCCTTCTGCAATACGAATGAAATTATTTAATCCCTTAAAATAAATATAATTCTTTATTCAGAAAGAAAATGCAATGTATTAAATGTTTATTTATTAAATGTATTAAATGTTAATTTATTAAATGTATTAAATGTTCATTATTTTCGTTCATTCAGACGAATTAAAGAAACAACAAGCTTAAAGCGGTCTTTATTAAAAGATATAATTATACATGCAAAATAATATTATTTCGAATAAACTGTAATTGTCTACGTGTATACTTTTATCAATTCTAAGTCGAAATAAAATTTTAAAATATGCTCAACATTCATTTAAATCATTGCGTGAATGCCTCTAAAAAGTAAAATGATCATAACATCTATTAAATTGAAGTTTTGGGGAATGTGGCAATGATTCTGGTTGGGGCACCTGATCCCTGGCCGATTTTCATAGGCATAATTTAAAGAGTAGCTCCAAATATTGGAATCTCTTCCATGTTCGCTACATTTTCTAAACCATAAATATTTGCTTCTAGAAGGATCCTATGCGCCATGAGCTTCTGAGATGGACCGTGATCTAAAGATATTGTTTCTGTGCCAACTCCAAGGATCTTTCTGTTATCTACAAGCCACTGTGCTGCCTCCTCAGATAACCCAGGAAAATGGAAATTTTCAGTGTCATTGCCTGCAGTTCCGATAAAAGATTCCCTGTCTGACCAACGACGACCCCATCCAGATCGAATCATGACGATGGTACCATCCAGGCTCTGCCCAGAAATTTGCTCCCATTTCTCTAGATCTTCGATTTGCACAAGAGCATCCCTATCTTCCTCGGCTTTTTTAACGATATCTATGACAGCTGCTGGAGCCTTCAAATGATTCAATGGTATCTTGTCCACGCACCACCGTTCCTTTGCGAAGTGACAAGGTGCATCCATGTGAGTACCTACATGAGTTGCTGAGTGGTATTCTTCCAGCTGCAACCTATAGAATAAAAGAATTGAGGTGTAAGTGCTTATTCATTCTGCAAATTGTGAGAAGTAAAATCCATGATAATATACTTTTGATAAGAAAGCGATGAACAGCTAAAGACCTTTTCAAAGAGAAAATGAATATATAATTTTTTACTAGGGAAATTGTGATGTAGTCTTTAATTACGGAAATTACAGCAGGAGTTGACATAATTATACGAACAAAACAGAGTATAACTATATTGTTGCGTGCGTACGGATTCGTTACTAAATGAATGCACAAGTCCGATGAAAAATGAACAAAAATTTATTATTATCACAACAAAAATGCTTAAATTTTCTCAAATTATCTTTCAGTTATTACAATATCTCACAGTAGTTTCTTCTAACTACTCAAAATGTCAATAGAACTTAATTCAAAACAGCTAAAGAAGCTAATCCGCGAATTCGCTACAATCAACACAAGCAGTTTTCTAAACAACAACAAACTAAGCAACTACTACGAACTGAGAGGTTTTCCTCCTTTTATAAGATTTTAAAATCACGCGCTGAGAATTTTCCAGTACTTTCTCGAAATCAAAAAGAGATATTTATTTTATGTTACATGCACACGCTCTTGTATTTTCAATTTTCCGGCTTAGCTTTCTTTTAATAGTCGTCACGCGCTGCACTGCGCGGAGAAATAAAACCATTTAATTTACCATTCAACTAACATAAGCTTTTTTAAATACCAAATTCGTAACACTGCCCCCTTCCCAAGGACTGCACGTCCCGGGCAGTTACAATCCCTGGACAGGAAGCTAAACTTACAACTGTGGCATAAATGCAACTAGCATAAACATTACATTACAATAATAAACAACATGAACAATAAATGCAATAACTAACTTGAAGAACAATCAAATGCTATCAATACTAAATATAAAACAAATACAAACAAATGCAAACTAAATACAAATCAAATCAAATACACATTTAGAAACAAAAAGGACCATGGTCTTATACTATTTACAATTATTTACACTACATACTATGGCCATAGTAATGAGCTAACCTGTCGTAATGAACGACTTTAGGTTTAGAGTTCGATGACTTACGGATCCGAACCACGACGTCATTCAGCCTGTTTAGGACTGTGTACGGACCATCCCAAGGTGACTGTAATTTCGGACAAAGTCCTTTCCGTCGAGTCGGATTCCACAACCACACCTTGTCTCCTTCGTGGAATTGATGTTCAGTAGCTCTTGTGTCGTATCGGGTCTTCATCTTCTCCGTCGCCAAGTTGACTCGCTCTCGTGCAAATTGTGCATCACTTCAAACCGGGCCTGGAGATCTTGAATATATTCCTCAGACGATGAAGGAGCATCCGGAGGGCGGGCCAAACAATAGATCACAAGGCAGACGAAGGTCACGACCGAAGAGCATCTGTGATGGAGAATAGCCGGTAGTCTCGTGGACAGCACTGCGGTAAGCCAGTAAAAAGAGTGGTAATTTCTTGTCCCAGTCCTGTTGGTTTCTGGAAACCACTAATGAGAGGTTATTAAGGATGGTTCGATTGAACCTCTCTACCATGCCGTCCGACTGGGGATGCAATGGCGTCGTTTTTGAGTTTTGTCAATGCCAAGTAGTTTGCATAGTTCTTTGATTACTGCGAGGCAAAATTCCTTCCCTAATCGGAATGTAACTGAAGAGGCACTCCGAACCTGGAAATCCAGTGCTGTATCATTACCTCAGCTACTGTGACTGCCTCTTGATCAGGAATAGGATAAGCTTCAGGCCACTTGGTGAAGTAATCAATGACAACGAGTATGTATTTGTTGCCATCAGCAGTTCGTGGCAGAGGTCCCAGGATGTCAAAGGCAATACGTTCAAAAGGCGCACCTACGTTGTAACGTTACAGTCTGTCTCGGCTGCGTTTCCTCGGTCCTTTCCGACCTGCACAGGCATCGCAAGATCGGCACCACTTTTGCACGTCATTCCTTTGCATTATTCCAGTAAAAGCGCTCACGAACTCTCTGTAAGGTCTTCATAATTCCAAAGTGACCTCCTGTAGGGCTGTTATGTAGTTCTTTGAGGACATCAGGAATCCGGATCTTGGAAGTATCAGTTGCCATCGGAATGTCTTCCCATCATCCGACTTCGAATTTCCGGTATAAGACGCCGTTTCGAATGTGAAAAGTGAATCCCAGAGTGCCCAGTATTGTTTTGTTGTAGGACTACAGATCGGAAATGTCCTGCCATGTAGGTTTTCTGTTTGATGACTCCTATTCAATCAAGTATGGGTTTTAATGTCGACGGTCTTCCAGCTGGTCTTTCCTGACTTTCATCATCACTCCACGGGTCTCGATCAGCCGATGTTGATGTTGTAATTTGTCTTGCGACCGGAGTCAGCAAGCTCGTATTTCCGCTTCCACCCTGGAACAATATCCGGCAGCTTTCCTGGACAAGGTCTTCTAGACAGGGCATCGGCGTTTCCGTGTGATGATCCCTTACGATGACGGATAAGTGATGTCATATTCCTTGGAGTCTCTGTATCCACCTGGCTATTTGACCCTCAGGATTTCTTGAAATTTAAAAAGCCAGGCCAATGATGCATGGTCCGTGCGGAGGAGGAATTTTCTGTCGTATAGATAATGATGGAAATGTTCTACAGCTTTGACTATGGCGAGCAACTGTTTCCTCACTGTTCTCGGTTTCGACTCTGTGTTTCTTCTCGCAACACAGTAATTTCCTCTCCGGTTTAGACAGGCACTTGCTCCAGTATGCCTACTACACTGTTCTTGGCCGTCTATTTCTTGGGACAAAACAGCACCGACACTTTCATTGCTCGCGTCGGTGTCGAGAATAAATGGTCTGTCGAGCTGAGGATACGTCAGGATTGGAGCAGATGTTAAAGCTTCCTTTAAGTTGTTAAATGCATCCTCGCATTCCTTTGTCCACAAGAATCTTTGCTTGCTCTCTGTCAGCTTGTGAAGGGGTCTTGCGATGGAAGAAAAGTCTTCTTCACGAATCTCCTATAGTAGGTGCAAAGCCCTAGGAAGCTTCTCAGCTGATGGACATTTTTTCGGGACGCGTCCAGGATTTAACCGCTGATACCTTTTCAGGATCCGTGCGCACACCTTCTGCAGAGATGACATGTCCCAGGTAAGTCACTTCCTTTCGAAACAATTTGCATTTAGCGGGAGTCAGCTTCAGATTGGGCTCTTTCAGTTTCTGAAGCACCTTTCTTAGATTTTCTAAGATGCTCTTCAAAACTCTTTCCGATGATGATGATATCGTCCAGGTATATCAGACAGGCTTCGTAGGAAAGGCCTTTCAAAACAGTCTCCATAAGACGTTCGAATGTTGCCGGCGCATTACACAGTCCAAACGGCATCACTTTGAACTGCCAAAGTCGTTGTCCCGTAGTAAATGCCGTCTTTTCTCGGTCATCAGGATGTATTTCTACCTGCCAATACCCACTCTTTAAATCAAGTGTTGAGAACCACTTGCTTCCAGAAAGAGTGTCTAGAATGTCATCAATTCTAGGAAGAGGGTAACTGTCTTTCTTCGTAACCTCATTCAACCGGCGATAGTCACTTTCTGACGAGAACGATGGGAGATGCCCATGGACTCGCTGAAGGCTCGATGACATCGCCTTCTTCCATATCTTTTAACAGTGTTCGCACCTCTTCCTGTTTAGCAAACGGTAGACGTCTTGGATGTTGCTTGATCGGGGGATGATCGCCAGTATCTATTCTATGTTGTGTCAAACTAGTTCGACCCACGTTAGAAGACGAGCGGGAGAAAACAACTTAAAGATCTTTAATGACGCGATCGGCAGCATTTTTCTCTTTATCGTTTAATTGTGCATTCTGCAATAACTCCGATGTAATGCTCTCTGAGGACACGGATTCTGGGATGTTACTCTTTCTTTCAATTCGTTCCTCCACAGCAGAAACTCTCCCTTCTATATGTTCTTTTACAGAAGAAACTCTTTCTTCTATTTCTTCTTTCACCGAAGAAACTCTTTCTTCAATTAGTCCAACTTTATTTTCAACTGTGTCAATTCTGCCTTCCATAGCTTCAAATTTATTTTCTATTATGCAGGTAATCTCTCTTTTCATTTCTTCTTGACCTGCTTCAATCTTTTCTTGACCAGCTTGAACGGCTTTCATTTCGTCCTTAACAGAGTTGGACGGCCCCTTCCATTTTCCTTGGCTAGATTTCATCTCTTCTTTCATTCTTCTTTAAACGAGGCAAAGGCTGTTATCAATTTCCTTAACTGCTCTTCCATCGCTCTTGTTATTGGCATTCAAATCCCACTTCTGACACCAAAATTGTTGCGTGCGTACGGATTCGTTACTAAATGAATGCACAAGTCCGATGAAAAATGAACAAAAATTTATTATTATCGCAACAAAAATGCTTAAATTTTCTCAAATTATCACGCAGTATTACAATATCTCACAGTAGTTTCTTTTAACTACTCAAATGTCCAATAGAACGTAATTCAAAACAGCTAAAGAACGCTAATCCGCGAATTCGCTACAATCAACAACAGTAGTTTTCTAAACAACAACAAACTAAGCAACTACTACGAACTGAGATGTTTTCCTCCTTTTTATAACATTTTAAAATCACGCGCTAGAATTTTCCAGTACTTTCTCGAAATGAAAAAGAGTTATTTATTTATTTAATGCACGCGCTCTTGTATTTTCAATTTTCCGGCTTAGCTTTCTTTTAATATTCGTCACGCGCTGCACTGCGCGAGAAATAAAACCATTTAATTTATAATTGAACTAACATTTGCTTTTTAAATACCAAATTCGTAACAATATTATAGCAAGAATGTAAAATAACAGCTCTACTGTTAATCAAACCGCATTCAAGGTAATTACTTCGCAATGCAACACGAGTTTGTAATATTCCTATTCTTATCCTTTTGAAATAATAGTCTGTGTATTTAACCTATGTTTGGGCTTCATATTTGTGTTATTACATCATTGAATTGATAAACTTTTCTGTTATTTA